CTCTTACAAGAGCTCAGTAGCTAAGGGAGTATGAAGAGCATAGCAATCCCTGTAGTGATTATAGCTGTCCCCTACAAACATGAGTCAAGGCTGCAAGTTAGAGGGTCAAGAAGATCTGAGGTGCTGGCACACCCAGCCTGGTTTTTATTACAGTCTTGCAAATACAGGACCGCCCACAGGGAGGTATAAAACAACCAATTATAAATGTACATTACAGAAACACTCCCAGCAATTACACACAAAACTCCTCCCCTCTGCCTGTGATCTAATTATGTTGCACAATGGGTTAACATAATTAAACACAGGCAGTAAAAATACAGTTTTTATCCATACCCTGTAACTTTAAAACCATAGATCCAATCTTCATACAAATACATATTTGGAATCAATCCATCAAGGGGAGCAACATATTAAAAAATGGCACAAATCAGACAAGGGGTTCACAAGTTAGCAAAAGTATCTTTTGGGGCCTAGCTGGCAGCATGGTTTTCTGGCCCAAACCGGATTTACAGAGCCCTCTATCCTGGACAATGGGGAAAGTAATCCAATTATCCAGGGATAGAGGCAGACTCCATTAACCACATGTTAGCAAAAGACACAAAAAGACACAAAAATGCATAACTCCTATCATACTGCACAGAACCCCCACATTCAACCTATCCCCAGATGGCTTGGATCTGAGCGCTCAATATATCCAAACAGCGCTCAGATCCCACAAATACAGTCAAATCGCCATACACACTAGGTCCATAGTCATGGGGCAGAAGGCTGGCAATTAGGCTTCTCCATAACACAGGGAAGCAGGGCAATTTGTCAAATAAAATAACAGTTACAAATGGCAGTTTGTAACATATCTCCCCTTTTGGAGGGAGACTAACCAGGCACCTGACCTTCTGTCGGTCAGTGCCTAAGTTAGTCTCGCAGCCCACCCACAAATAAACATTGGCAGAGTAGCCCCCCCACAATAAATAGTACTGGCCTGTAGGTTCCAGGTTGCAGGACAGTCCTGTGACAAGGGAGTTGGTAGGGCAGAGGCCAGCGGCGCTCTGTCCTGATGCCAGCTCTTCTGCTGGGGGAATTGGGGCATAGTCCTGCCCGGTGGCAAAGGGAACGTGGGGGTTGGTGGGGGTTGCCATCTCACCCGTTAACCCTGGGCCCAAGTTAGGAGTTGGCTGGGGAGGGGAGAATTGGCTTACCTCCTCCTCCTGATACTCCTGCGGCCGCTGGGGAGGGAGGTCGATGCTTTCCGCTTCCTGTGGAACATGCTGGGTCTGGGGAGAGAGACCGGTTGTCTCCTCTCCCTGGAAGGCACACTCCGGCTGGGGAGAGAGGTCGATGCTCTCCTCTCCCTGTAGCTGGGTCTGCCGCTGGGGATCTGGGCCGCCTGCCCAGCATCCCTGTAGGGCCGGTAGAGAGACTACGGTCCCATCTTCACCTGCCTGTTGGGGGTCCTCCCAGGACCAGTCTATGAGGTCTGCTGCCTCGGGTACCTCTGGTTGGGGTTGGGGAAGGAGACGGGTTGCCTCTTCCCTCTGCACGGTGCACTGCCGCTGGGGAGAGAGGTCGCTGCTCTCCTCTCCCTGTAACTCAGGCTGCCGCTGGGGAGGGAGGTCGATGCTCTCCGCTCCCTGTAACTCACCCAGGGGTTGGGGATCTGGGCCGACTGCCCAGCATCCCTGTAGGGCCTGTAGAGAGACCTCGGTCCCATCTCTACCTGCCATCAGAGGTTCCTCCCAGTATACCTCTACGATATCCTTCCAGCTGAAGGACTCTCGATCTGGCTCTGCTGCTGTGCTCTCTAGGGGGACCTCTGGATGCTGTTGAGGAAGGGGACGGGTTGTCTCTTCCCGGGACCCCTGGATGATGTGCTGGTACTTCCACTCCAGGTCACATTCCTGGGTGACTAGATACCGCAGGTCTGCTTCCAGGCCAATAGCTCTAGGGAGTCCCAGCTTGTCTTCCCGGTCATCATACAGGTCCCAGAAGCGTGAGTCTGTAGCCCTTCCAAAGTCATCATCGTCCATATTCTCCCAGAATAGATCAGGGCCATTGTAATCCCCACACTCAGGGAATTCATACTCAGCTATCTCTGGAACAAGCTGAGTCGCGTACCACTGTAGCGCCTGGTATGCGTTGTCGAGCCACAGTTCACTGTATACTAGATCCTCTAGTTTAGTCACCCACACTGGAAGGGGTTGTTTGCCCAGGAGGGGCATCCGCTCTGCCATTCGAGCCTGGATTTGCTGCCCTCTGCTGATTCTACGATCACCTCGCCAACGCTGAACTTCCTGTAGGGCTTCTTCCCACAGCTCGCCTCTGGCCTCACTTCTGTACCCACACATCTCCTCTTCTGAGACTGCCCCATCTTTCCAGGATAGGAAGCCATGCAATCTGTCGAGGAACCTCTCCTCCATTTCGGCTGCTGTGCACGGACTTGCAGGCTCCATGCTGCTCTAGGTAGGGACGCTGCGCAGTGGCTAGCGTTGCCCTCAATACTCTCTCATACGATACCAGTGCTGTTGGGGTGCTGCTCCTTGCGCTAGGACGCCATCCCACCGCTTGCCACCAAATGTTATGGTTGCCTCCAGGCTGGCTGGAAGTTGGACCGTAGAAAAGGATGCTCCTAGCGCTCACCAAAGGACCATCAGCACCGTAGACACCATAACTACTGCGTAGCCACCATAAGTACTGCAGACTCCACGAACCACCGCTGCTGGGCTGGTATCTCGCCGTCTGCTCTGTGCCCTGGACCCACGACCAGGCTCCAGGTTCCAGTAGGTGAACCTCTTCCTTCTGCAGAGCGAAGCAGGATCAGGAACAAGAGCTCTTACAAGAGCTCAGTAGCTAAGGGAGTATGAAGAGCATAGCAATCCCTGTAGTGATTATAGCTGTCCCCTACAAACATGAGTCAAGGCTGCAAGTTAGAGGGTCAAGAAGATCTGAGGTGCTGGCACACCCAGCCTGGTTTTTATTACAGTCTTGCAAATACAGGACCGCCCACAGGGAGGTATAAAACAACCAATTATAAATGTACATTACAGAAACACTCCCAGCAATTACACACAAAACTCCTCCCCTCTGCCTGTGATCTAATTATGTTGCACAATGGGTTAACATAATTAAACACAGGCAGTAAAAATACAGTTTTTATCCATACCCTGTAACTTTAAAACCATAGATCCAATCTTCATACAAATACATATTTGGAATCAATCCATCAAGGGGAGCAACATATTAAAAAATGGCACAAATCAGACAAGGGGTTCACAAGTTAGCAAAAGTATCTTTTGGGGCCTAGCTGGCAGCATGGTTTTCTGGCCCAAACCGGATTTACAGAGGCCTCTATCCTGGACAATGGGGAAAGTAATCCAATTATCCAGGGATAGAGGCAGACTCCATTAACCACATGTTAGCAAAAGACACAAAAATGCATAACTCCTATCATACTGCACAGAACCCCCATATTCAACCTATCCCCAGATGGCTTGGATCTGAGCGCTCAATATATCCAAACAGCGCTCAGATCCCACAAATACAGTCAAATCGCCATACACACTAGGTCCATAGTCATGGGGCAGAAGGCTGGAAATTAGGCTTCTCCATAACACAGGGAAGCAGGGCAATTTGTCAAATAAAATAACAGTTACAAATGGCAGTTTGTAACATTTAGCCCTTTTACATTGTAGGTGACTAATTTCATAACGGTGTTCTAGGTAGTCTCTAAATCTAATCGTGGGTATATCTGTAATGGCACTTAGTTTGGTTGTCTTCGAGTCGGCATGGTTATGGGGTGGTGGTTGGCGTCTTTTGATGCTTTGTGGGGCCTGGGGGTAGGGTACATTAGAAGGTAAGAAACACATAGGGGGTGTGGGACAAACAGATAGGCAGTACGCCTGAAAGGGCTCCATCTCAGGGAGCCAAGATGCGCCGGGAGAATCCCGGTCACAGTCGCTGGGGGGTGGGTGTATGAGCCCGGTCGTAATCCGGGGACTCAACCGTGGTTGCAGTAGTGGGATCACAGCGTTGCAACAAAAGTATAGAGGCGCCCTCTAGGATTTTGATCCAGGGGCCTTCCAATGAGTTGGCCCTAGAGTATTGCGCCTGTGCCCCAGAGGTCCTGTGAACTAACCCCTGAACCTGTAACTTTGGGCACCTGTACTTGGCAATGTGGGTGCAAAAACCAAACCAAACCAAAGGGGGAACAGAATGAATACATTTGTTACTTTAAACTCACATGCTTGTCATCTTAAGTCTCTAGTGGTATACTCATGGGTCGGTGACCGCTTGTCGCCTTCTGGAGGCAAGAGGTGACTGCGGTGTTCAGGCGGTTGACCAGTCTCTTGTTACTCTGGGGATTTTATGGAGGTGTTGTTTCACCTCCTCTGCGACCTGTATGCCCCAGTCCTTGAGTTTAAGGAGCCCCATTTCTGTGTTGAGTATCACGTACATTTTCCCCTCGCGGTGGATCAGTAGTTTGGCTGGGTATCCCCACCTGTAGGCGATGTTCTTCTCTCGCAGGGTGGCTGTGATCTGGGTCAAACTTTTCCTAAACTGTAATGTTTCTGCTGATAAGTCAGCAAAAATTTTGATGTGTCCATACGGGTCCGGCATGCCTGCCGTTCTGCTTACATCCCACTCTGTGGTGGGCGGCATGTGTTGTGGCCGTCTTAGGCGATGCACCCTGTCGACTACCATCTGGTCTGGGTGGATGGCTGGAGCTAGTGCTTGGAACATGTCTTGGAGGTAGTCACCCAGGCCCGCCGGCAGTATCGTTTCAGGGATGCCCCTTATCCGGATGTTGTTCCTCCTGGAGCGGTCTTCCAGGTCAGCCACTTTTGTTTTAAGGTTATTTAGTTGTGTTTCGTAGTCCTGCACTTTTTCAGCCAGGTAGTTATGGGCATCTGTGCAATCATCCAGTTTCTGCCCTATTTGGGCTGTACGCTGGCCTATGTCTGCAACATCTTTCCTTAACTCTGTTGCCAGGTTGTGCAGTTGTTTCTTCATAGCAGCTGAAAGTTGTCAGCTAGTTCGGCCAGCATGAGCCTCATTGAGGTTGTGGTAAGGGGCTGTTCTGCCAGGGAGGTGATAGAAGTTGTAAGTGACATGGATCCCTCGCGGGAGCAATCTCCGTCGCCATCTTGTACTAGGCCGCCGGTTTCCCCGCGGTTTTTTCGCGGCGGATCTGGCCATAAAAAAGGACGCTCATTCTTCTTTGGCAGCTTTCTGTTTCTGCCTCTGAGACATTGTGGGTCTTTGGGTACCTTTATTTTGTGCTCTGTAGTCCGTTTAGTTGTGCTCCGTCCCCAGTGCTGCGGGAGCTTCACAGACGTGCGTCCATGCTGCTTGAGCTCCAGGCCACGCCCCCTCTTAACTGCATTTTTAATGAAGGCAAGGGTACATGATATATAATATTACTTTCATCATTTATTTTGTGTATACTTTATCTTATTTTTTTCATAAGAGTGAGTTACTTTTCTGTGAAAGTTGGATATAGCAGTAGCAAATACATTTGCAATCGTCAAATTTATAGATGAAGATGATGCACCAGGCATTATTCTACTTTCATGGCTGGCGACTGATTACTCTACATGTTACTATCCCGAGTCTAAAACTGACCAAATGAGAGAACGCCTCATTAAGGATGACGTGAGTCCACAGAACAAAGCATACAAGTGGGTAATCTAATGTGCCACCAGATAGGAGTGGTGTGTTTAGTATTGTTCTGATCAGTTTAATACCTTCCGCGTCTGCTATCAGTGGACGTGTATATGGCAGCCATTTTAGGAACCGTACACCTGGGACCCGAGCAAGGTCACCTCGTTCAACAGGCTACAACATTTGTCCCAAAAACAGTCAAAGGCTTCCTCCAGATTAGCCATTATTTGACTGTGTAAGTAACTTCAGGTCAGCTTAGTGCCTCATCCTGCCTTGAGTAACATGAGCAGGGTCGTCCACCATCTAGGACAATGCCACTCCTCGCCCACCGACAATCTTTAGGGGTGATTTGTGGTTCAGAATATCAATGTGCCATTGCCCAGCCGGGTCAGGGATGACCCCCACTGGTCCGATGGGGGCTAGCGTAAGTCGACGCTATGATCTGTAGCGCAGGGAAAGTGGCCGCCTAACCCCAGTTCAAGTTCTTGTAGGCCGCAAGCTTGCTTAACGTTCATTTAGTCTTTGAATATAATCCAGCAGGAAGTTGGAAATGACTGGCTCTTTGGGATCAGCAGCTTAAACAAAGATATAAGGTGTCTGCATTGATCAATGAATACTGTTCTTTGTATTTGCTTTATCCACCAACTCTAAGTAGACTTACAATGCTTGTGTCTTGCAGCGTATCCTCCAGGAAGAAGAGCCTGAACCTTTACCGGCTGCACGTGTCTTACCTGTACATGGAAAGCTGCTCTGGTTCCTTGATGAGCCAACTGCCTGTGAGTTAACATGTCCCGTGGAGAAGCACTCTGTCCTGTAAAGCCTC